ATTCTCGATTAATGATACATACTACTTATATTTGCCAGTAGTACACCACCAAACCATTGACAGAAAAACTAGTGACTTTTCATTAAAACTAATTTATGTATATAAATGTACTTATGGTTGGAAAGGAAATATGCTAGCAAAATAAGTCATCGAATCCATAATAGTTAGTTCCAACACAATGAATTATTAGATACTATACATATAATATGAGATCACTTTGACGACATTTGTATCTACATAGTTAAAGTTTAATGACAATGGAGTTGTTTGACTGATTCAAGGCCTAAATCTTTCAGTCTATCGAGTAGGTATTCTATCAGTATATTTCCATGAATTTATAATAATAAGTCATTATTCATTCAGTTAGTAAATGAATAATCAAGAAATTACTCATTCATAGTTAAGAAAACAAGGTGCAAATATATAAATCATGTTAATATCACTTAAACTAATGAAAACAAACCTGATAGTGAATATCATTATGAAGAATTTATAGGTATCATTACCATGATTTGACTTGATAATTTCGAATAAATTGAGCATTGGGTAGATTGTTATAAATAAAAATAATATATTTGTAGTATCACAATCTGTAAAAAATTAGATTTCCTTACGTTTCGTACCTTGATGTAAGCTACTTCATTAGAGAATAAAGAATGAAAAAATGGCTTACGCTAAGTCACGAAACTTTAGAAAATCTAATTTTTTATTTATTATGAAGAATCAACATGTACAATGGGAAAAGCAAGATTCTCTAATACAACACAACATGCACCAATCCAATTACAATTGACAGAGAAGATTTGGACGATGTATAAACCTTTACATATTTGGGCAGCATCATTGATGAACACGGTGGATCTGATGCAGACGTGAAGGCACGGATCGGAAAATCAAGAGCAGTATATTTACATCTGAAGAACATCTGGAACTTGAATCAACTGTCAACCAGCACCAAGGTCAGGATTTTCAATACAAATGTCAAGACAGTTCTATTGTGTGGGGCGGAAACCTAGAGAACTAAGAAAGCCATCATCCAGAAGATACAGGTGTTTATTAACGGTTGTCTACGCAAAATACTTCGGATCCGTTTCCCGGACACTATTAGTAACAACCTACTGTGGCAAAGAACAAGTCAGATCTCAGCAGAGGAAGCAATCAGAAAGAAGCGCTGGAAGTGGATAGGACACACATTGAGGAAAGCACTGAACTGTATCACAAGGCAAGCCTCCACGTGAAATCCTGAAGGCCAACGGAGGAGAGGAAAACCAAAAAACACATTACGTGGAGACAGACATGAGAAGAACGAACAAGAATTGGGTGGAACTAGAAAAGAAGGCCCAGTACAGAGTGGGTTGGATAATGTTGGTGGGCGGCCTATGCTCCATTAGGAGTGACAGGCGTAAGTAAGTAACTATGAATAATGTTTCTAGTTCGTTATTTAGAGTTGGAATATTAATAACTATTCTGATAAATTTGATCTTGACATTATACATATATACAATTTTATAAATTTCAACACTATTAGATCTGAATGATTGTTTATTAAACAAATGAAAATTCATTCAATAATCATTCATTTTTTAAATATACATCAAGATTTTTATGTTTCTATATAATAAAAACCAAACTATACAAAAGAAGAATAACTTGCTTCTATTACATCATTCATCCATATATATCCATATATACATAAAAATGATACTATATTATTTGTGTTAAAGTATATAATTCATTTTTTAAATGTATCCCTTCCATATAACCAATAGCATGTTTTAATGGATCAGGTAATTGAATTAATTTTTTATAAAATTCATTATTTATTATTAATTGATTATTATTATTATTATTAAATATATTTGAATTCATGATTAGTTTATTAAAATATTTTATATCTATTTGATTTCTTATTTTATATCTACATTGTACAAATAAACTAAATGGTTGTTTATTAATAAGTTTTAAAAATTTATTATGATAATAAATAAAATATGATAAATAATATTGATTATTAATCATATAATCTTTATCAATATATTGATTATTATTATTATGATTATATTGATTTATTAAATTATTATCGATTATATCATATACATTATCAGGTAATTTACATAATCCAGAATAGATAAAATTAAAAAATAATATAATAAATGATTGTAATATAATTGGAAGATATTGTGTTTTATTTTGATTAGATATATTCCATTTTACTAATTCATTTATAAGTAGTGGATAAAAATGATTTTTATATATTTGATTTGTATTATTATTATTATTATGATTATGATTAAGAATGATTGATTCTTTTATATTAAATATAAATAATTTATTAGTATAAATAAGAAAAAATAATTTTATAGGAATCATACCAGAATTTAATAATTGTCTTAATAGACCAGCATTATCAATTAATTGAGAATGATTGATCATGTTTATTATTTGTAAACTATAATTTAATTGTATTGCAATTTGTTCAAATATATAAGATAAAGTATTTAATTGAATACCACCATTATAGGTATATTGATAAAAATGATTTATATTATGAATATTAGCTTCATGTTCAAGAAGACATGAAAGTATTATGGAATATATTCCATTTGTAGAAGAAGATGATGAAGAAGAAGAAGAAGATAGATTTGATGGAATATTTCTTAGAAAAAGATCAATAACTGATGGATATATTTCAATCATTATTGTTTCATGTTCATTTGATAATTTAATTTTTTTTTGTATTGAATTAATATTTATATCAGTATTTAATAAAACTAAAAATAAATCCCATTGATTATCATTAATTAATTGACCAAATAAATATTGTTTATGTATATTTGATATTTTATTATAATTTATTACAGTTTTTAATGAATATTTAGAATCAATTTGTTGTGAATCATTATTAAAAATCAATATATTATTATTATTAAAATTTATTGATTTTTCATTGATTTTTATATTTATACATGTTTTTTTATGTTTGATATTGATTTTATTTTTCCATTTACGATATTTTATATGTTTTCGATGAATAATACATCCTGAATTATATAATGAATCCATTAATTTGAAACTATTATCGTTAGATATATAATAAGAATTTGATTTCATTATATTCTCTTTTATATATGTATTATATTGTTGGTTATTATTAATATTATCGATTTCATTCAATTGAATAGGTATTGATTTATTGATTATTTCTTTATCTAATGAATAATTTGATTTTTGTATTATTAATTTATGATAACATTGTAATGTATTAAATGTTTTTTCAATTTTATATTTTGTTGTATTATATAAAAATAATAGAAATGATTTATATTTATTATCTTTATTAGTAGTATGAAATGAATTATTTTCCCATTGAAATGAATAACTATTAGATAATAAACCAAGTTTATCATATCGTTCTGTGAATGATGTTTTATTCATATTGGATAATCCAGTTAATAAAAACATTTTAATTATATTTATATATATATATTCAATCAATAATGATTGATAATAAAGTTGTAATATAAGTAGTAGTGACAACAATAACAACAATAGTATTAGTAGTATATTCTACGTGATGAAATATAATCAAAATATAAAAGATAATTGAAATTATTTATATTTTAAAGTTTGTATTATGAAAATTATTATTTATAAATTAAAATGAATTTTTCAATGTGTTTGTTTATCTAATTTAACATAATATAAAGAAATATTTGCAAAAAAAATAAACAATTTTAAATAATTTAAATAATATGAATTTGATTGGTGTAGAATATATTAACCAATTGGATTTAAGAGAATTAATTTGTTAAAACTGAATTATGTATACTGACTATTAAGGAGTCCTTTAGTAAGATGAAATGGTCTAAAGTGCTTACAGGTTTTACATGGAGGTCTAGCTTCAGTGGACTGATGAACTCAACCATTAAATTACTATAATATTCACAAAATCCTTCTCTGATGCCCATCAGCATATGCTCACTAGTGACTGGCTTCAAAAGTATTTCCTGGTGTTTTAGTGAGAAGCCGTGATCAGTGGAATTCAACCGGGTGAGTTGTGAGTTGAAGACAATGGTGGATGGTGGCGCGATTTCGTGGACAGAATGAAGTTATTCATTAACACCATTCGATTCCGGCGGGCCCGGTGATCTATAGGTTAAGTGCTATCGCGCGAGACTGATAGATCCTGGGTTCTAATCTTGAGAGACGGGATCGTAGATGCGCACAGCTGAGGAGTCTCATAATAAGACGAAACGTCCATCCGATGCTTCCAGGTTTTCTGTGGTGGTCTAGCTTTAATCGACTGATTGGATCAACAATTAAATTACCATAATATCCACAAACAACTGCTGATAAAATCGAATTATAAATTATTCTTCATAACCATTTTAAGATTTATTTTAACGACGAATTAGGACTATGATACGTCATCACACTAATGATGAATTATTATTCTGAGTTTATTATAAATCCTATTTTGTAGATTTGATCATCAATATAAGGTTAATGGTTGAAAGAAAATTTTAATTTTAGGAACATTCAAACCATCAATAATTTCATTAGATTTGAATATACGTCTACTCATTTATCATAATTTCCAACTATTTGTTCCTTCACCATTGATATGTGACTTTGAAATTCTTATTACATGTGTACTTTTTCATTGTTTACTAAGATAAGAGTTTGCAACAATTTCTTGGTCGGATAGAATGAATGTTGAGTTAAAAATCAATGGTATAAGATGTATTATTGCACCAGAATAATTAGATGCTATTTTGCATAAACTTAACATTTATCATTGTAATTTTTTTTAAACAGGAGCAGATAATTTATCAGAAGAATTGGGAAATACAATTGAAGCCAATAATACAAAACAGCCTTTTTTGCATATTAAGTATTGATAGGACGTTAGCTATGTGTGAGTTTACATTTGAACGTAAACGTAGAGAAAATTGTAAAATGAATATTTAAATGAAGGGTGAAAATGTATATTTCTAAACATGAAACTTCATTTTCAACCCATAAGACTGCTTACTGAAGAAAATCTATTTATGTACGTAAATAAACGAATTGTCCGTTACAACGTTTTATGTGTAACTGATAGTTTTAATCTTTCCAGTAAATCTGTATGTCTTAAGAATGCTTAAACTGTAACATGCCAAAAAATAATAATACTAATGAGATTCGTTAGTTAAAAAAGTACCTAGGGATAGAATTTAGAATATGAGTCTCTCATAGGGTTTCTACTACTACTACTACTACTACTACTACTACTACTACTACTACTACTACTACTACTACTACTACTACTACTACTACTACTACTACTACTACTACTACTACTACTACTACTACTACTACTACTACTATTACTACTACTACTACTACTACTACTACTACTACTACTACTACTACTACTACTACTACTACTACTACTACTACTACTACTACTACTACTACTACTACTACTACTACTACTACTACTACTACTACTACTACTACTACTACTACTACTACTACTACTACTACTACTACTACTACTACTACTACTACTACTACTACTACTACTACTACTACTACTACTACTACTACTACTACTACTACTACTACTACTACTACTACTACTACTACTGCACCCTTCTATATCATTTAGATCATTACTTTGCCCTGCTTGTTAGATTTGCAGGTTCAAGATTATAAAATCTTCGTTAAAGCGGATTGTATGACGTTACGTCAATCTTTGATTGACATTCATTCAATAATAATTTCGTTTACGAAAAGACTCATTGCAGGACAATCATATATTGTATGATAACCATAGTAAATTGATAAGGAAGCTATTTAATAGTAGTAACACTACAATGTATCACAGTTGTTTAACTTCAAATCCACATGTTAGTAAATATTTATATATAGAGAAAACGTTTCGTTATTCATTTACCGTATATTTAATGTGATAAAAACTATTTGACGTTTATTCTGTATATCATGTATTAAGACACGAAGTATATATAAAGAAATTATTAGTAAATTTGTCCTATCTAAATGACAACATGATAGGAGCTGGCACCTATCTATGATGAATGTGAAGTTTTAGATGGCTTTATATGATAGGTATTATAAATGGAAAAATATATCTGAAATGATCTCAGTGATTAAAATTAAAATGGTTCTAACGTTTCGTTAACATAAACTTATCTCCCATACCCTGGTATCTCAATTTCAGTCAAAATATTCATTCAACTATATTGATGAATATTCATAAAACAATTTTGATTTTTCCAAGCGCGTATTTCGATTTTAACAGAAACTTACTAGTTAATAGTGTGAGTTTAAACTTAACAATTCATACTTCATAATCAGTGTTGATCTAATAAAATTATGATATTTCCAGAAATTTGATAGTTATGACAATCTATTCTTTTATGAAATAACAATTCTAAGTGGTTTTTAATTAGAAAAACTAGACAACATAAATGAAGAACGCTAGATGATACAGTAAAAAAGTTTGAACAAACTGTAGCTGAATACAGATTAATGAACCGAATAGCGACAAGTAATTCTTACTGACATTTCGTTTCCCAAAAAGGTCAATCTTTTTATAATTATAGTGTATACGTAATATGTTAATACAATTCACATCGATTTATACATTTCCTTCATTGTCAAAACATAAAAACTTATTAGTTTATTGTGACAGGCCGAAGAATCTTAGATGATTCGGTTTTTTTTAAAGATGTACACATCGACATACATAGCTATATGAATTTTACTTAACACCAGCGTTAGGTCATACAATCTGCAGTGGTGTTTTCATGACCATGTTACAACTGTAAACTATTATTAGCTAAATTTGTTTTAACAGTGAGAAAATAACCATGTATATATACCAACTAATTATATAAGGTTTAGATAGTCTAAAATATTCCCTCGAAATAATTTTGAGTCACCAGCTTATTCACTAATGTCTATTAGTACAAGTGCAAATAACTCAAAAGGATAGATTATGTAATATCGACAAAATAAAGGCGAAACTCTTGACATTGAGATCTTTCCTGTTTAAAAGTCTTCACTAATTTAAATCGATTATAAAAGTGTATAAAAAAATTACGGTTTTATCTTTTAATTACTGTATGATACCTTGCATTATCTAATAGATAAGTTGGATGTAATGTGCAAATATGTAGGATAACTTTTGCATTCTCAGACCTTTCTCAGTAATTTTTCTTTTAAAACTATATATTTTGATTTCATCAACATCTCTAAAGATTGAAAGCTACGGTTATGATTTTATTCATTTCTGTGTATAACAAATCTTCACTGCTTATTATCAATTCCCTAAGTAGTTTCATTTGGTTTAAAATCCTGAATTTGATGACCCCGGAAACAAATCAAAATGCCATACAGAAAATAATCACCCTACTGAATTAGGAGCGGAAGTACTGTTGAAAAAAAAATTACAATTAGTTAAATATGAAGATTCACCAATCTATTATGTAATGTCAGGATAAGCGATTAGTCATGCGCTATTGACAAGATTTTTTGGTTTACTGTAAACAAATTTTATGATTACATTTTTTTTATTGTACTAGTCACTCGGATACACAAATAGCTGAGATCTAACACTTCCAACTATATTAATTGAGATCATGAATCAATTGATGTTAGACCACCGTTCGAAACCTGGAAGCATCGGACGGCCGTTTTGTTCTATTGTATGACTCCTCATCAATGAGCATCCACAAGCTCACTCGCGGGATTCGAATCCAGGGCCTTCAGTCTCATGCGTGAACGCTTGACCTCTAGACCACTGAATTGGCCGGCATCCAATGGTGTTAATGTCTGACCTCAACCAATCCACAAAATTACGTGAGCATCTTCGACTGTACTGAGGTAGATAACTGTCTCTACCTGACACGGATTAGCTCCACTGGTCACGGTTTCTCACTAGAACTCCGAGAATCCTCTCACGAAGCTAGTGAGCACTCGGTAATTATCAGTATAGGGTTGCGGAGATTATTAAGTATTTAACTGAGATCATGAAATGATTGATGTTAGACCACTATTGAAAAGTACTGAAGTGCTGAACTAACTATGATACATGATCTAGTTATCTTGAACTCTTCAAGAAAAAATATCCTTTTATTAAAGTGACAGATATTACTTTGAAAGAATCCATAGTAAAATAATTTGTGTTGACTTAAAAATTCCTAATAATAAACTCTGTGATTCAAAGTTATGTCGTTACCATACTCATTTATTTAATTTCTAACTGACAAATCTCAAGTTATTAATAAAGTGCGAAACAAGTTGAAAATGCACCAGTTTTCATTGCTTTAAAGGATTTCATTTGTCTAATGAATAGCTTAGTTACCAGTCTCAAGTTAATTATCTATAGATTGTCAAACGTTACGTTTATTTCTATTGTAACGAACACAAAAGTGCACCAGGTAACACAATATTTATTTTGTCGTAATCGATCCCTCATTATAAACGTTTATGGAAATAAACAAATATTTGTTCGGAAGAAAGCTATCATTCTTCACGAAAGCAATAAGAGTAAAATTAGTATCATGAAGCAGGTAAAAAGTAACTGTAGTTCTGATTTGTCTTAAATACTACTCATGAATATTTCCCAGACTAATTCTTTTTAAATATTTATCTATGACAAAGTCTACTTACAAACTATTTGATAGAAATAAATTACATTAGGTTAGATGGACTCATGAGTTCAATTATAAAAATTAATACAATCATCAGAATTCCCCATTCTGAGAATAATCATCATGTGCTCACTAGTGACAAGCTTCAATATAGAGTTCTGGTAAGAATCCATAACCGATGGAGTGCAATCCGTGTCGAATATAAGACAGTTATTCACTTCAGACTAAACATGTAGGGTTAAGCATGATTATGAATCGATCGAGGTTAAACATTAACATCGTCAGATGTCGGCTCAGTAATCTAAAGGTTAAGCATTTTTGCATAAGATCAAGTAACCTGGGTTCGAGTCCTGTATGCGGGATCGTGAATGCGCACTACTGAGAAGTGTCGTACTAGAACGAAACGGCCAACCAGTATTCTTAGGTTTTCCATGGTGATCTAATATAGATCGACTCATAAATTCATTACTTCGATCTCCATTAACACTCATTCTAATTGAAATAAACTAAATTCATCATTGAAACAAAATCATTCTTCTGTAATACTTTTTTTTTCATTTTCCAACTTCATTTTTATTGAATTTTGATATTTTCATTTCACTTTCTTGTTTTGTCGCTTGTACAAGAGAAATGACTTTAGGTGACATTATTTGAATCGCTTTTCGTTTGTTTGTCTTTGTTCCTTTTTGCAGTGTGTTCATTTAATCTCTATGCATACATTTAATACTCGATACAAAATTACATAACAATGAATACAGATTATTAGATATTACCTTAGCCTAACTACATTAGAAGAAATAATAATAATAATTTCTTGTCATATTTATTCATGTATTTTTTTTCTTTACCATCGGTAGATGTTTTATGGATGATCATTCTTTTCTTTTTTTGTTATGGAACGTTGATTTTCTTTTTTTGTTGTTTATTTATCTTCTACAGTTTAGGTTACAAACTATGTAACATTAATGTTTTACATTTGGAAATATGGAACTAAATGTCAAACAGTCTTAAATTATGTATGTCAGAATATAAATAGTTTTATAAATATGATAGTGAATATATTTTTTTCCAAATAATTTTCATACGAAATATTTATAATAATCTAGTCAATATGTCAAATGGCTTTTTGTCTTCGATGTTACCATGGAACTATAAGTACGTGTGAGGTGTACTAACTTATAAGACGTTTATATATATTATTACTAATAAACGGGTAAAAATCTGGTAATCACTATACGCCAACTTAAGAAAAATGTAAAGGTATTATAGTAAGTAATATCAGAATAGATAAGAAAAATAATTGAATAATCATGTTAAAGAAAACGCTAAGCCTATTCACAATTACATAAATACTATGAAATGTACCAGAAAGATTAAGGAATTCGACTTTAAGACATTTTACTAAATAATCAGTGATCATAAACGTTAAAATGTAAATAAGTACAGGTCGATATAATACTTGATGTAAAACATGCAATGAATTTCCTTAGCACTATAAGACACTAATTATATATATATCATTTGATGTGACTTTATCTCATTTGATTAAGTGATAATACATTATTTATTTAGATATTAGATTACGTGCTCTCATAAGTTGAATTTTAACATGAAGAAACATGCTTGCAACACAGATTTGTATTGAAATAAAGATTGGTTTCCTGTCAAATATTATCGTTGGTATAATGTACCATGGTATCTTTTTATAATACAATATGTCAGAGTAAACATATTATTCTAAATCAACTGTACTAACAATATATGCTCAATTTATATTTTATTGAGTATTCAATTACTAATTAAAGACAGGTACAGGTTTTCCAAAATTCAACTTAAGCAATATCGATAAAAAACACAGATTTTAACCTACCTCAAGTGACCAGTGATGGAGGTATCACTTAAAATGAATGGTCCATTATAAGTTTTGAATTAATATTCACTACTATTTGGAGACTTGAGCAGTACAGATCGATTCCCTTTCCATCCTTGT